TGAATTCATTCTTTTCTTGCTCATGTGTACAGAAACACATCTTTAACCCCACGCTTCTGACCACATTACCCACAGAGTGCTGATGGTCTGTAAAAATATGGGACGCTCTGCCCATATGCCCGATGCGCCAAAAGGCGTGAAAAGGGAACTTTACTTTTTTTTTTACTTTTCTGTAGTGATGACATCGTTAACTACAGACTTCCATTGGTGAGATGTAAAATTAACAAGTGTGATATGTGTATTTCATTGGAAGATTCATGCTCTGTATTTCATTTAAGTTGATGGAAAATCTATTAGTAATGCACCTGACAAGACCCAGTAGAATGTATGAGGCAATACACTGTGCAATGTATTGTGACTAGATTAATTCTTCATTCTACTTCTGAGTTCATCCGAAGATGTAATTGTGTTGCACCCATTTACAGTATGGCCTTTCGGCCGACCCATCCAACTTTTGCAGGCATTTGCTGACCGGGATAGCCTTCCCAGTGTCTTCATTAATTAATTATACATATCCACAGAAATATTGTTGTAAACTTAGATAAAATCAGTCCGTCTGTAAATATCAGAAGCTGTAAACACAGCAATAGCATGTTTATCTGCAGGCCTATGGGTAGAAACTTTTCCTGTAAGCTCTGGTATAAAAGTATATTTAACCACTGAATCCCAAGTTTACAGGTAATAGCTTACACTTTTGACAAAGCAAACAGATAATTAGTTTTTGTAAAGGAATTCTTTCCCCTGAAAATACATTTTACTCTTCAAATCGGATACCTATCAAACCATAACATAACTATAAAACAAAAAGTTTGAAGGAATATTATTTAACTATACTGCAATGTCATAATGTGCGTGTGTCTGTATATGCAAAATTTGAATTTGATAGATTTAAAGGAAAGTTTCAAAATCAAAGGCTAAATTTTGACATGACAAACATCAGTCTGAGTAAATTAAATAAAAGTGTATAAAAATTATTATAAATTTCTTACCAGAATATAAATTTGTAAGAATTCTGCTGTAAAATTACCACAAATGTTTTAAAATCTATTAAATTTGTTGCTAAGTTTCTGAAAGATCTATATGAATAAACACTGATGCTAACAAGTGTATATTTGTATAAACTTCTCGCTGTAAACTCACTAAGATTATGTGTATTTGTTTATAGAAAACTATCTACTGTAAAAAACTAACTATCATTATGTGTATTTTCAGAAACTACCTACCGTAAACTTACATTTATCATAGGTATTTACCAAAAGACATTATCTGCTGTAAACTTACTACCATTTTGCATATTTATTTACATAAACTAAACTAGTATGAGCTCGCTATCATTGTGAGTATTTATTCTCCTGCAAAATCACTTATGTGTAAATAAATGAGGAAATTTTTGTTGTAATAACACTGAAAAAGTGTAGATGAAATGTTTATGTGTAAGCCAATTATCAACATTTGTTATGTGTACAAAGTATTACAGTATACGTACCAAAAGCATGTGCATATGTAAAAGTTTACTATGAATAAGTATATCTTAGGACACTGCCATAAACCCAGTAACAACATCACTTTAAGTAGAAACTTCTTCAGGATTCAGGACTCTTAAAACTAACTTCTGAACATATCACCTGCCTCCATTCATCTTTGTAATTGGCCTTCTCTTTCCAATTGGTGACTCCAAGTGTTTTTAGGGCTGCCTATATATAATCTCTCCATCCTTCTTGCTTTGCCTCATGGTTTACTCCCATTTAACTATTTTGTGTGTGCAGTTTTTGTCTGTCAGTTACCTATTTCTTTCTACATGCACCAACCATTGCAGTCTATTAGCCACCATAATGTGATTTAAACAAAAATTATGAATGTGTAGAAGTTCGTTGTGAAAACTCACGATCTCAAAATATCTGTAGAAGCCTTTGTTCTGAACTCCCTATCCACAATTATTTGCAGACCACATTTTCACTATACCAGTAAGCATTGCTATATGTGAAACATTGTAAACTCGCTGTACCAGTATGTGTCAATATATGTAGAAGTCTTTGTAGTCAACTCCCTATCAGCACGTATATTTAACTGTAGTAACCTTTATGCAAGCTCGCCCCATAACCAGATTTAAACCATGAGTGGCCAAATGGTTATTATTTTCATTTATAAACCAGGTGTCTACAATTTTAGATGAAACCTATAGATTTTTAAACACACATTTTCTAGTAATTTAAAAAATAAAAACAATGTGATTAGTGGCTAAGTGTAATTCCTGTTTTCAATGACGTGATGTATGATGCTGCCAAGATTCATGGCAGTTAATAAGTTAATTATTATACCATAGCAGATGTATCTTCTTCTTCTTCGATCCTTCTGTCAGAAAACTTATATCATGAGGCCGGTAGCCTTTATGAAAGCTATCGTGCAATCCATATCTGCCAAGATTCATGGCAGTTAATGAGTTAATTATACAATAGCACTCTAAATGCTTCTGCTCTAGTTGCAACTTTCACTCTTTCAGATGCAGACAGTTATTAATTTCATTGTTTCTGACTCAGTACAATTGTATTTAAATAACCATTGCCTGTAATAGAAAGTCCGCCATCTCTGCATTTTGTTAAACTAATACAAGCACAGACTTATGTATTTAAATATTTCCAAGATTTGTTCAGTAACATTTCTTCGTGTATGAAGAAAGAAACTGTCTCCTTATCCAACTATCAAAAAAGTAACACTAGAGCAAAAGCTAACGAGTCTACACTGCATGGCTATTCAAATCGTGACTTGCTTAACCTGGCCCACAGAGGCCTAGCAAGTGCCCGTTGATTATTGCCATTTAGAGGTATTATGATCTTTCAATGATGGGACTTGGGCCTATGGCCCGTAATATTCCCCGTTTTAACATTTTGACCTGTTAAAAAAAAAACTTTGCTGAGTAGCCCTGCTTTTGTTTTATAGTATGACCTGCAATGAAATCTGCAATTGATTACTGAAGTCTTCAGTCTTAAGCAAGGATGACTGAAATAATTGATGTGTCCTGTTTTTTAATTTGTTAATATGACATTTATGTGACTGTTTATGTGTGCGTTTCCTTTTCTTCTGCTTGATTACTTTCAGTGACATTATTCAGTAGACACATTATATTTCAGAAAAACATCATTATTATACTCTCAAACCTAGGTGCAGGTCTCCTGTGGCCCTCTTTTTCCTAGAAAATGTGTATGCCGACTCAGCGGTTGGGGGAGGGTTTTTTTTTGTTTAAGTATTTGTTCATACATGACATATTATATCAATGTATTAATAGATTTATTTACTATTCACTAAAGTATTATTATTGTTATTATTATGCTCTTAAAATAGTTGTAGGCCTCTTGAGGCCTCCTTTTTTGTCTAGTAAATATGTTTGGCTGACTTTGGAGGAGGGCCAATGTTTCTGTGTCAGGGCACCAGATAGCAAAGAGTGTGAGAAGACAAAATCCCCAGCAGCAGTCATCACGCCATGTAGAAACAGTTCCATCATGAACAGTCAATACATTCTTCTCCTCCTCCCTTCAACTCTCAACAGAGCATCAGCCTTAACCCTTTCAGTACCAAGCAGCTCTCTCTACGTTCATTAGATAGTATATGATGCCATTTTCTTAACAACTCTGTGTCCCTTCCTGACGAACCCAACCTATCCAAGAAGTTACTTTAACCTATTTCTGATTCAGTGTCCCCGATGAGGGTTCCAGGGTCCCATTGTGGAGGGGGGGGGGGGGGGGGGGGGGGGGTAAACAACAAACCCACCACGGCAACTAATAAGCAAACCACAAAAGTCGGCTAACTAGGGGTGTTCTTTGAAGTCAGAGTGCATCTGCCCGAGAGGTGAGGACCTAACAGTCTGCATATAAATAAGCCAGATCCATAAAATGAATGTACCAAAAAAACACTCAAGTTTTGAAAAAAGACTGAAGACAAGAAGTGGATCTTCTTCTCCTTCTTTGTTCACCAGCTGTAAGTTCCAGCAGAAAGTCCTGTCTGTTGCTCGAATTTGACTTTGGCTTTGTGGCAACGCCTGAGTTCTGCATGTACATCCATTTTACTGTCTTATTTGAGCAGCTCGTTGTTCCTTGCCGCTCAGGCAGATGCACTTTAACTCATACGACATGCCTTGCTGGGGGAGTGGTGAGTCTTTCTTTCTTGTCCCCACAATAGGACCCCGGAATCCAAATGGGGGTAGATGTAGATGAACAACCAGAACTTTCTGTTATAGTTTACAGCCAGTGAATGAAAAGAAGAAGAAGAAAATTCACAGTGAAAACTGTAGCCTTATCAGACCCAAAAGTCTATGCCTAGAAAATAGCAACTGATTAGAACAGATAAGTTACAGCAATAGCTGCCTGGTACTGAAAGAGCTATCATATCCACACAAAGCCTTTTATATACATCTTTATGTCAGGTGATATTTGGCAGCTGAGGTTTTCTACCCGATAAGGTAATTATTCTCACGATACCCGAAAAGTCATCATTTACATCATTCATAGTGAGCTGTAGTGTTACTACTCTTTGTTTCATATACAAAAAAAAAACAAGTTTTTTAACACTAAAACTTTCATACTCAACTGATCTTGTGTGCTATAATTTAAGCAACCTTAATTGCATGTTAATCAAATAAATCTCTTGTGAAATACTATAATGGGCAATTTTCAGTGTGTGGATGCTTCCATCATAGTGCCCCAACTTCCCCAGAAATTCTAAAAGGGGCAGTTTCTAGTGAGTGTTGATGCTTCCATCATAGTGCCCCAACATCCCCAAAAATACTATAATGGGGAGCTTACACTAAGTGGTTGATTCTTTCATCACAGCATTTCTACTTCTCACAACTGAGCAATCGTTAGATTATTTATTATTCCCAAAACCAACGATCAGCCAGGAAATCAGCAAGAATAAAATTAAACATGTGGCAAAGGTCAAGCCCAAGTTCAATCACGATTTTATAACAGTCACAATTAACTTGACAAGAGAAATGAAAATGATTTTACCTGCAATTCTTTGACAGAACATGGGGAAAGAGCGCCTTCTCCTTGCTACCCACTTGTATCCCATGCAATGGAGCTGCAACTCCAAGCCAGGTGCCATTCTTCATATAGGAAATAGTAGGAGGGCGAGACTCCAGATCCAGCATGGCGCCAATAACATCCCCTTCCTCAAAGCGGCCACCATAGTCGGTGAAGCGGTTGTTTGTTGAGAACTTGCCAGTACCACCATAGCCATATGACCAAGGCTCTTCTCCTAGAAATCAAAATAGATCAAACAGAATTGAAATCATCAGTGTTTCAATGAAAATTGTTTCTTCATCTTAAAAAATATAATACTAAGCATCTGAGTTGAACAAGTCACTGACAAATATAGTAATAAAATCTGACTATCAGACCTAGTTTTAGAAGAAATTCTCAGTAATGGAATAAGAAATAATTTACTTTGCCAGGTCATGTTTGGTGTGCACAACACAAGCTGAGACATCAAAGCATGGATTTCATCCCACCCTGCTAATTAACTCTCTTCACCTCGTCAGTTGCATATCACATTTTAACAGTGAGAAGTAAGTTTGCTACTCGTCCAAGTTACTTTATCAAACTGTTGTTTGGTGTCCTTGTTTTTTTTAAATGAAACATTATGAAATGGGTGATAAAAATTGCAGTGACCTTGGAGGTCAGAAAATGAAATGATTACATTTCCTAAGGCCTAAAAAAATGTATACAGTGATATACCATGATCTCATTGCTATGCCACAGCTAAAGACAAATTGTGACATAAAAACAACACAAAAAAGCCATTTTGTTACTCCAGATGGAGATTCTGAAAAGGATGTAACATCAAGAAAAAACAAAGCAAATCAAACATTTGCCAGGCTTAACAATATGTGGAAGTCAAAGGGATATAGTTTGAAGACAAAACTCAGAATATACAAGAGCAACATATTAGGAATACTACTATACAACAGTGAATGTTGGAAAATGACAGCGGGAATTACACATAATCTTGAGAGATTGTTTAAGGAGAATTCTACGAATATTTTGGCCAAACAAGATCACAAATGAAGAACTGAGGAGAAAAACAGAACATGCATCACTGGCAAATGTTATCAAAGTAAGAGGATGGAGATGGCCTAGACATGTTTGCAGAATGCCTTGTGACACTGGCAAAAACAGCTCTCCGGTGGACAGCAGATAGAAAAAGGAGACGTGGACAACCTAAGGAAACCTGGAGAAGGACAAAGAACGGGAAATAAAAGAATGTAAACTGACATGGGATACCATGGGCAGAAAAGCAGCAGAAGCAGCAATGGAGATCACTTGTTAATGCCTTATGTGTCAACAGCAACATGAAGAGGACACAGATCATCAACAGAAACACACACGCTGCTAGAGGAGGTCATATATTCATACATATCTCTCTCAAACTGGCTCCGTTTTTTTTCTGCACGAACAGCATCACTTCCACAACTCTGAGAAGAACTAGAACACGGTGGTACAGAATCACTGATTGCCAAAATTCTATCAATGCTAAGAACAAGCATGTTAGATGAGTCGCATTCTGAATTTTCTGTAATGTTAATGGTGCTCTGGTACACCTTTCTTTGCTTGTAAGCATTTGCCAATTGTAGACTTTTGAGATTTTTTAGGTTGACTGGCTAAGAGGAGTTTATATTTCTTGGAACAAGGCATTTTTAAAATTCACGGCGGTCTTGCTGTCTATGCGTAGACATTCTACCACAGGGGCCATCTTGGAGAATCGGATACCCGTGTGATCAGTTTTCAGCCAGCCAGTCGCGAATGGGAAAATTGAAATCCCACAATCCCGAAACGCACAGAATACTGCAGGAGACATAATTACGGTTACAACGGTATATCATACACAGTTATCTCCTTGTGCAAAAAGCCTTGCTAAGAGTGAAAAATCACAAATTTTTAAACACAATAAACAAATAATTTCACAGCTAGGGTTATAGCTCAGTAAAATTGTATTATTGCATTAAAATAACATATTTTAGACAAAAACAAATACTGAATCTGACAGAAGACATACTAAGGTGTGTAAAAACAAACTTTTTCAAAAATTGTCGACCTGGCCCTAATTCACTGTTCTGAACACCCGCACATTGCCTTACAGTTGACAGAAAGACTGATTTAATTACAGACAATTGTATCGCATAAAGCTCGGTCTCTTCCGGGTTAGCCACACCTCAAGAAGGCAACCCCATCAGCCTCTGGCTGTTGTGTGGTCTCTCTGGGCAAATGTACATCCAGTAGTTTGCCATTGCTTTCTGGACGGTCGGCTTCTTGATACAATTGTCGAAACCAACGCAAGGCGCACGGCCCGCAGCTGGGATCGAACCCGGCACACGGCATTACGAAGTGTTCGCATCGACTTAGTTACAGAGCTAACTACATAACTTAATATAAGAATCCTGAATACTGTACTCACCTAGCTGGAAAGAGGAACTGTCAGTAGACCATCCAAGACGTACTATATGGGGGTCAGTTTCATTATGGTCATCACCAAAATCGGCTGGTAAATGTTCAACAACATGCACTTCATAGAAGACCTGCACAGAAGCACATAAGAGCATCACAAGAGTAGAATGCTTAACAATATTGCGCTAATACAAAATTACAAATCAGCCATGAGCAAAGCTGTGCTGAAAATAAACTACAGCTCAAAACACACTAGACAAAAACCAAAGTCAATTTAATTACAGCCCAATCGAGGATAACTTCTATGCACACATGTGAAATACTTTCTAACAGCTAAAAAGTTCTTCACCCATAACACTACATATCTCCTAAAAGATTCCATCATCCATTACATTATCTATATATCATTAAATACTATCTTACCAATGACACAGTGTCTGTGCAACACAAAAGGTTTGCCCACAAATGACAAGATGTCTACACATCCCCCAAAAAGGCATCCCTTTTGCTATGATACTGTTTACAAATCAATTTACACCAAGATGTCAGCTATCTACAGATTACAAAAGAAAAAGATTCTCTCTTCCCAAGACACTGTCTACAGATCACCAAAGTAATGTCTTAACCCATGACACAATACCTGCAGATCACCAAAATAGACCCCCTCTCACATGAGTTTCTACAGGTCACCAAAAAGACTCCCTCTATGACTGTCTAGAGATCATCAAATGATTTCCCCAGTTAGGACTCAGCTGTCTACAGATTCCCCCCCCCCCCCCATGTCCCTTTCCCATGATGCTGTCTACAGATTACCAAAAATATTCCCTCATCTAACTTGTTTACAGTTCATCACAAATATTTCCCTTATCCACGACAGTCTCTGTAAATCACTACATACTCCATTACTCATGACAGTGTCTTCAAATCACCAGTCAGAATCTCTGCTGAATTCCATACGCTGAAACACTCTGATCTGAAGACCCACCAATAATGTTCCCTATAACTGGATACATTGATCACCACGTTATGTATAAATATTTATTTTTTAATTAAAAAAAAAAGCCCCTTTACTAAAAATTACATTTGACAACGTTAGCACTTTTCCATCTTTCCAAACGATAGTATTATACTGTGCAATGAAAAGGTGCGGAAGTCAAAGCCCATGGCGCTCGTCTCCATAGCACAAAGCCTGGGCAGTATTCTGGAGATCATATGTTTGCCCATTCATTATAATTCCTCTTTCGACCTGTCTTGTTTACTCCAAAGGAAAGGTAACACTAGTACGACTGGAACAAAGAAAGTTACAGAATCTGCCAAATCAGAAAAGCTGTGCTCTATTTGTCCACCTGTCAGAACTTCCCACCTAGGCCAACTGCCAGCCAAGGCTAAGCACCTGGTTTGCCCTGGTGGGTGAAGGGTGATGCTAATGTGGGAAACGGATGAGCAACAGACAGCTGATTTACTGAATGCCCTCAGGAGGCAGCTCAATTAAACGAATCGAGTAATGATTGTGAATCTGCAACATTGATGAGACTACCCGCACACAGCATAAAAAGGGGTGAAGCCAGACAAGAGCGCTACACAGGGGCCCAAAAAAGGAATAGTAAACCAACACAGAGCTGGTGTCATAGGCCACTACAGGCTGAGGGAGATGCTGAAGAGGGGATCTGAGCACTTATGGAATGGACGGTTCCATGTGCAATGATGATAATCTGTCAACTAACTAACTAATAAAGTTTTCAGGTCACATTTCCTCTTCTCAGGATAATGCTAGTAAGTAAAGTTCCCTTTTCACGCCTTTCGGCGCATCGGGCATATGGGCAGAGCGTCCCATATTTTTACAGACCATCAGCACTCTGTGGGTAATGTGGTCAGCATTACGCCGGCTGTCTTTACTTTCCCAGGACAGCCCATCCTGGTACCCATTTTAGGCTGGGTCAACCTGCGACGTCCCATACCACGACAAAAATCCTATCCCTCCAAATGTGTTCCTTCACCTGCAGCCTTAGATACAACGTGGGAATGTCAAGTTTGGTACATGCCTACTCAACATTCAGCTTTAACAGAAGACAGATAGTACCGGCTACAGTTATATGGTATCCCAATCATATCTGACCTAACGCACCATACATACACACACACAGGTATGTGTGTGTATGTATACCATAAATACAATCTACAGAAGCCATCCCTAATTAATTAAGCCCTACTGATCCCTCTTATTATTTTCAATAGTCATATATAACAATTAATAAAAAATTAGAATCACACATACACAAAAACAATAGACTGCATTCTAAAGTTGATGTAATTGTTTTATAAATAATATCATGGACTCCTAAAATTTGTTCTACAGTTCACCAAAAGAGAAAGTCTGATCTAGAGTCTTCTTCTGCCTTTCTAGCCCCAGATGAAGCATAGGCCTCAACCAACTCACACCAAGTCTATCTTTTGCTATCCATGCAGCTCTTCCCATTGTCCTCCCTATCTTTTAAACTTTATTCTTCAGCTCCCTTCTCCATAAGTTTTTTTATTTGGGCTTCCTTTATTCCTATGCCCCTGTGGGTTCCAGTGCAAAGACATTCTAGTTTTACTGTTCTCCGGTTTTCTCAATGTGTGTTCTATCCAATGCCAGCGTCTTTTCCTCACCTCTTGATCCACTGGAGCTTGCTCTGTTCTCGCCCAAATCTCTACATTAGTGATTCTATCATACGATTTAATTCCCTCTATTCTGCACAGGCACCAACCAGTTGATGAATGTCTGTAGTTTATTAGTAATTGCCATGGTTGTTCTCCATGTTTCCACCCCATAAAAAATTACTGATTTAACATTAGAATTAAAAATGTTAAGTTTAGTATTTCTTTTAATTTCTTTTGAAATTATCTATTATCTAGAGTGCTAAACAATAAATATAGGGTGCCCTGTAAGTTTCCATACATAGGAAAACACATTTGGTTTTTTTCTCCGCCGCTGAAGTACATATAAGCAAAGGTAGAGTTATGCTTGTAATGGATAATGGTGTTGGTGATATGTGTTTCCCCCACATACAGAAACTTATGGGACACAGAGCCGCCTTAACGCATGGGATATCTGGGCACTTGGCCAAGAGGGGGGAGGGGGCAACTAATCTGTGAATGTAAATGACTTGCTATAAATAAAAATATACTTGACGTTTAAATTATTTCTATGTAATATAACACATAAATTATATAACCCCCTCCTAAATTTTCTTTTAAATTGTGCCAATAAAATTAATATACATTTAATATTATCTATCGAACATTTACATTTTATTCCCGTGAGTGGTTGTCATAGGAGCACCAGTACACTGGTTTTCCCAGGGGCCCATAATGCTGGCAAGACGGCCCTGATAGGACATCCTGCATTTAACATATTTAAATGTAAAATATGTGGGGAAAAAACACTAATAGCTGTTCTTTATCCCTGAAATACTGCAGTCTTAAGAACACTAAATGGATATGCAGTGACTTACCTTGCCCCGACACGCTCCATATGTAGCTCGCGCTCCAGCCCATGTGAAGCAAAACCCAGGAGGGTCATTAAGTACTGATGCGCCATACCTAGGTTAACATATAATATACTTACACTATAACATATGACACATGTATATACGTAGCAGTATATTGACCGGTAAAAACGCATATGCACAAAAACATGCATGCCCACTTAGACATCTTTATATCTGCAAACATATATCTTGTTAATCTCTTCGCTAATACATCAGATGGTTCCAATAAAATTGTATACCTCTTGTCTCTTTGCTAATCTAATTTTCTAGAGTTCCACATAGACAAAGGACCTTACTTCCAGACACAGTATACTGGCAATACAGTAAGTAAAGTAAAGAAGGGCCCATTATCATGCCTTTAGCGCATCAGGAATATAGCGTTCGACCTATATTTTTATATACCAAATGGCATTACACAGGCGATGTGGTTAAAATCATACAAGCCACCTCTACTTTTTAGAACTTTACCTGGTAACCATTTGAGGCTGAGATGACCTTAGAATCAAAGTCAATTCTGAAACCTACCCCCCCCCCCCCCCCGCTTCGACGCAGATTTGAATCCCTGACTTCAGCCTGGCAGGGGCGCCTCAGGTTACTACCCTACAATGGTTACCATTGTGAATACAGTGTTGGCTCTATTTTCCTGACAAGTAATTCAGAGTACTTGTTATCACTCTGGCTACTGTACCTCAGAACAGTTTCTGGTACCAATTTTATAAAGCCGTGCCAACCTCAAAGAAACACTGCCACTACTGCCTGTAGTTACCATTTTTGCAATGTGGCACCAGGAGAGGGGGATGGAGGGTGATCTTGGAGCTTCAGAATTTAGGACTGCATAGCCTTGACTGTGCAGGTTAGAATTTCATGTCTGCCCCCGACAGACAAGAATCAAAAACATTAGAGAGGATGAACCTGGGTCTCCCACAAGAAAGCTCAGCAACCTTGACTGTTCAGCCAGCCGCTCCTCCCAAAGAAACACTACAGTTATAACATGAATTATCATCAGAGAGGAAGTTAAGTACAGTGTAAACTAATCATGAAAATACCAGATCTAAATGCTTAGTTACTTTATTATAACAGTAAACTTACAGATAATAATTTCAAAGTGTATGCCATTGAAAAATGAACAACAAATTACATTTCTAAACAGACAAGATTAGTCAATAAACCATGCAATTCAATTTATGTCAGCCAGCAACTGTATTCTTTCTTCTTTTGCCCTACTGATTTTGCCACAAATGTCACAGAGAAAAAATGGGCATCGGTTTCCTGTCTTTTGTCTGTTGTGTTAATGTCATATTGAGTTCCTGTAGTGCCCTTTTACTCCCTCCACCCAACTCTTTCTTGGTCAACCTCTAGCCGTGTAGCCTGCTATCCTCATGTAGTATGCGGTAGCTGCTGGCTTTTTTTAAACTTTTAGCTTTTATTTTTGTAAAATAACATACCCATCTGGATCAATGACTAGATGCAGGTCAGAGTTAAAGTGATCCAAGACTACCAAAGATTCATCAAGGTTCGGCTCATCGAGTTCTGGTTCTGTATCAGCCTGGAAACGGTTGCCAGGCCGCCTGCCTGCAAACCTATTACCACTAAAAATAGAAGAAAAAATTAGCCACATATAAGTAATGGAGTAAATACTCTGATTATCGTTGGTGCATACTCCCTGTTAAGATCTGGATGCCTCACTAGGGGATGGGGAACACATTAGCTATATTTAGATCTAACTGACCAATTTCAGTACAATTAAAAACATTCACGTGCAATTAGGTGTGTTAACAGCATTCCACGTTATCCTGTTGCTTTGTTTACTGTGGCATCCTGGTCGATAATCTGTGTATTTTGTGCCCTGGTATTTGGGATTATTCTATATTTGGTTATTATAAAATGGCAAGAAAACTTGTTAAAGTTGATAAAGAATTAATGGAGTTTCTGTCGAGGAGTGATAGCAAAGATGACTTTGAAATGTGTACTTCTGACAGATTCGACTAGGCCATCAACGTTGACGGCTCAAGAAAAAGCTGTCTGACGTCCTGATCATCCGAATTAGAGGGACAGCGACAATGAAGTGCCACTAAAACGGCACAAAATTTATCAAACGTCTTGGTCTCCTGAAGACTTGTGAACAGTTGTGCATAACTTTGATTACTCTAGCTCGGGCTGTATTTCTGTTAGTGTAAATCCAAACAGTTCAGTGCTTTATTTTTTTTTCCTACCTTTTTCCCCCATATGGAATCACTGATGATCAATGACAATGAAAAAAGACAGCGAAATTCATACTAGGGACAACATTGTAGATAAGATATCTATTTCAAGCGAACAAAAGAAGATGACATAGTAATATTATGGTCTTATTTTAGGTTGTTGTTATTGTTTGATTGTCTAGTGTAGTTGGTAACACGCTCGCCTCACAATCGGAAGGTCTTGTGCTAAACCCTCCAATCCCCCCCCCCCCCCACCTTTTTCTTTTTTAAATTGTTATTTTCGCTTTCAGTTCTTGTCACTTTTCGGGCAACAAATGAATTTTTTAAATGAAATAACATGGTGAATACAATTAATTATGATTTAAGCGGGTGCCGTGGTAGAATCGTCAATCAAATTTAGGAGTAGAGATTGGAAACAGTTCTTCCCATTAATTTCCCCCTTCCCTCCCCCGGTGAGGGGACGGGAGCTTCGTCGGTCAAGTCTGTGGGGCGAAAGTTTTTGAAGTTTTCAAAAATCAAACTCCTCCGTGGGGTTTCTACTACATATATGGCAGCGGTGGAGACAACGATGAAAAGTATACATTTTCTTTCAATATCCCTAGTGAAGCCGGGCAATTAAATCCAGTTTCTAGTGGTTTATTTATGTAGAGACAAGGTTTTTTGGCGTCGCCATCGGGCATCTGATTTGTCAATACTCAGGCCAGCCATGCACATCCCTAGGGTGAATATTTTTAGGTGTTCAGAATACAGCCCCCACCGCTGAGGTATCTTTTGCGTTTGGAGGACAGAAAAGTATTGCGCACATGAGTCCTTTTTTTCCACACTGCTTAACACAGGGCAGTCAGCTACGGCGGGGAATGTAGCCACAAAAGGGTTAACAAGCATGATATAAAAGGACTAATTGGGGATTTGCTGTAATCAGATGTGTTGTACCAAAAGGTACAGATATCACAGCCTAGCTGTAAACCACAACGCAGCATGCAAAGCGTTGAGAAAAAGACTGGTATATGCACTAGTGAAATTACTGAACAGAAATGACTATCAGCTGATTTCACCATCAAATGAATGAATGTGTGTGTGTGTTTGTGTGTCTGTAAATTATTTAATACTGTTTATAAAATTAGTTTTAAGTACAAAGTAAAGGATAATTTCTATGCCACTGGCACATAAGGCATTTTCTCCATATTTTTTATAGACTAATAGCATACGCTTGGGGATCAGATCAACAACACTGGTCATTTTTACTCTCGAGAACATTTCCTGATACCAATTTTAAGCTAAGTCAGACTAGGAACGCAGGTCACGTACATCCATTTTGATGCAGATTTGAACCCAAGACATTCGGCCCAGCAGGTCAAATGTGTAGCTAGTGTACTAAGTATAGAAGTTCCCCAAAGCAATCATTAATCAACTGAAACAGTCTGCATGTATGATGATTTAGTTTCAACCCGTCTCATGATCAAAACAAACATCACTTAGGACATAATTTACAACAGATATATGAACACATACAGAACATAAAGGTCAAAACTGCATTTTTTTAAATGAAGAACATTTTATGCAATAAATCCATATAACTGGAGGTCAGGAAAAGAATTCTCGCATGCTGTATAGAGCCAGTTATTCCATATGGCTGTGAACCCAGGACAGGTTATAAACAAGCCAAACAATTTCTTGAGGCCTCAGAGATGCGGCTTTACATAAGAATTTGTGGAATTCCATGGCAGCAGCAACAACAACAACAAAAAAGAGCAACCTAGATGTTCCGAAAGAGCTTGGAGAGGCGGAGGAAAACAATGTTAGAAGATTCTTGAAAGCCTTTGGCCATGGCACGGATACATGCAGTTGCAGTTAACAGACTGGGGAGAGGCATGATGGTCCACACCAGACGGCAAGGCACTTGATGATGGTGATAGAACTCAATAAATATTGACGTGAGAAGAGATTCATGCAGCTGTCATAGCAGTGCGCTGAAGAAGAAGCACTGTATGCTTTTAAAATAATGTAATCAATACTGCATCAACAGTGTAAGCAAACCACATGAAAGAAAGAAGTGAAAATGATACATTAGGAATTCTGAGGAAAGGAAAGTGTATTCAATGGTTTGTTTACATAGACAATTGCCCTGTGATGCCATTTTTATAGAACGCCTTTACCAAAAAAAGGAGAGATCAAGAACAATGCGAATAGATAACATAGAAACTTTTCAACTTGTGTCTACTGTTGAGGCTGCCAGAGGAGCGAGAACTAAAAATCCATATCTCCTTCAAAACCAGATGTGGTGTACAAGGGAGTGAATAAGAAAGATATATCAAGTTGTTTGACTAAGGGTCTTCACAACCTGAAAACGATCATCCTATTAACTGGGTCTCAGGAATTAACAAGTCAACATTAACAATGAGTAATTATCAGTCAAAGTCTATTGAAAAGCAACAGCTGAGATGGTCTGGCCATCTGATTGATGAGAATGCCCTAGTACTTCTTCTCTTTCACCACTTACCTCAGTGAGGTGTTGGGGGAAGATGTAAGGATTGTTTGTGCGCCTTTTTCTATACATTGTACAATCTGGTATTCATTTCTGTTAGGTTGCTCCTGATGATGTCGCTCCATATCTTGTGGGGTCTTCCCCTTGCTCTGTGTTCATTATATTTCTTCAGCGTGGCTCTCTGTGGCAGTTGGTACCAGGGCATCTCATCAGGTGGCCAAACCATCTCATTTGTTGTTCTCTAATTAACTGTATGACTGGTTTCAGTACTAGCCTTCTAATTTCTTCATTCCTGATTTTATCTCTTCTTGTCACACCAGCAGTTCTCCTAAGACATCTTATCTATGCTGCGATCTTCCGCTCATTAGTTATAGTAAGGGTACATGTTTGGCACTGGTAGCGCAATGACGGCCAAAAAACAGTTCTTATGAGATTTGCTTTGGTTGACAGAAGTATCAGCAGCTGGTCGAACGGTAAGAACGATGGGCTCTCAAGCGGGAAAACTGGGTTTTTCTGTTGGCGGCAAAATAAAATCCCCACGTGCATAGTTGCAGTGACAGCACTAGCCATGTGACCAAAAACTCTCAGCCTCAAAGATCCCCCCTGCCTGCACCGCAAAAGTGGTATAATAAAGGCAGTAATTGGCAGGTGACAGAAGTATCTTTCTAGCCCTAGTACTAACTGCTACTAAGAGCCACACTAAAGAAATATAATGAACACATAGCAGGATGAAGACCACACAATAGAAGGAACATCCACATTAAGAACAACCTTATAGAAATGAAGACCAACTTAAAAAAAAAAGAGAGACCATTTTTCACATCTTCAGGCATATTGGGCATACAGGGCTAGACCTATATTTAACAGAACCTGCACTTGGTGGGTGATGTGGCCAACATCACGCCGGCCGCCTAAACATTCCAGGACTTCACCTGGTACCCACGCAAGGATGGGCCGACCTGGGAGCCAGACATTTTTTTTTAAGAGATCCCCGTTCTGTCAGGACCCGAACCCACGACCTTAGATGAACTTAAAGCATTAAAAACAGCATCTAGACGATCTTAAACCTCTGACCAAGATTTCACTGAGGTAAGCAGAAAGAAGAGAAGAAAATATAACCGAGTCTTCTTCTGCCATCTATCCCTCAATGGAACAGGCCCTCAACCAACTCATGCCTTATTGTTTTATCCTTCGCTATTGCGTGCAACTCACCCCATGTCCTTGGTATCTCTTTAATTTCACTCTCTAGCTCCCTTCTCCATGTGTTTTTTTGTGTACCTACCCTTATGTCTATGCCCCTGTGGGATCCAGTGCAAAGACAATCTAGTTATACTGTTCTCAAGTTTTCTCAAAGTGTGTCCTATCCAACGCTAGTGTCTTTTCTTTACATTTTGGTCCACTAGAACTTGTTTAATGCTCTCAAAAAGCTCAACATCAGTGATTCTATAATACCCTTGTATTCTCTCTATTCTGTGCAGGCACCAGTTAATGCATTTTTTTTTTTAGTTTATTAGTTTAACTGTTCTTATAACTGGGTATGTGGACACATTACAGAGCAAGCAAGCCAGTGGCATAATTGTGAGATACCCACCTTCTGTCATCATCTCTTTGTCTGAAGTCTTGATTATTACTTGGTCCTCTGTATGATGACTGATTTGACTGCACACCAGGTAACGGTGCTGCTGACTGGCGGCTGTAATCTGACATTCCAGAATAAGGGCCTGTGCTTCTTGGTGCAGCCATAAACTGCTGGGGAGCCACAGGTGTCAGGCCTGCTCCGTATCGGTTCATATTTCAAGTTTACCGTGAACACAACAATCCTACAGAATTATACTGCCTTGTTCGAGATTATTTGCAACAGCCAATCAGTTGTTGAATGTCTATGGAAAAAAGTAAAGGAAAAAGAAATTTTATAATTACATTTAACTAAAACAGATTTGGCAATTTAAGCAGTCGCACATGATTCATATACTCAAAATATATGCTCCTGAAATAATCATGCAGCAAGACAGAAAAAAAATGTATCAATTAGTTCATATATCTAGCAACTCACATGAGTACACATTTAGTCCAGTGGTTTTCAATCTAGGGGTCGTGAGGAAGTTTCAAGAAACTTGGTACCTGTAATAGTTTGTCGGGGAGTGGCTGGCCGAACTGTTAGAACGCTGTACACTCAAGCGGGAAACCTGGGTTGGAATTCTTGGCAATGCTGGGGATTTTTTTTATGTCGGGAGCCGTAAATCGTCGGGCGCAAAGACCCCCCAGTCTACAACGCAAAAGGCAGTAATTGGCTGGGTTTTTTTTTTAATTGGCAGTTGGCAGTAATAGTTTGTTATACCAAGATTTTTGTCTCTTTAATTATAAACAAAACAATTTTGCAGAACTAATTACAAAAACAAAAGGTCACTGTAAATTGCAATAAAACATATCAACCTCTCTTTTATGGGGAGAACGCAAGAGACCATGCCACCATATGGTGTACATATTAAGACCGATGATGATCGTAGACAATAAAAGTTAGTTGTGTATCCTTTGCGGGATGTTGCAGAACCAATCATTTCATTGAACAAAGTTTTTTCGCCAGGGACACTAGATGAGTATCATTTATTCTATACATTAAGAGTCCTATGTAGTCACTTCATAGTTAGAGCCTATTTGTGCATGTGTACTGTGTTGTCCTTTATGTGCTGATGAAGGCTAATCGCCGCAACGTCCTTTGTTTGTTTATTGTGATCGATTTTGTAAAGCTAACATAAACTAATTGTTGTTTCTTACCAACTTTTTCTCTTCCCTATAATTTTCTACTCCTTATAAGAACCAATCCTAGAATTTTCTTGACTGTTGTGTTTCTAGGCAAATTTTACATTTAATAGTTCGCCACTGCTTCTGAACAGTCAGCTCTCGGAAAGATGTTCTGTTGCTAAACTGCTTGCAGCTGGGAATGAACCTGGCATTATGAAGTGCGGTCACAACGCCTAATCTACCTAAAATTATTCTCTCCACGTGGTCAAAGACAACGCTTACTGAAAATTGTCAGACTGCAAAGTGTGTAACAGCAGCAGGAACTTTCTAGAGTGCAATGTGCCTCTTTTTAGGCTTAACACAATGTTCAAATTATACCATTAATTCACTAAAGCTAGAAAACAGCTGCAACCGTCTATGGTATTAGAGAACATAGAAGTAAGGATTCGTTTGTGAAGCAAACAGCCAGACACTCCAACTCTTAATTGACAGCAAAAAGTTAATAGTCCTTAGAAGCAAGGAAAGAACAACAAGTGAATTCAGAAAAGCTAGAAATCATAAGCAAAAGGTAGCTAGACAGTGTGCCGACAACTAATGGATCCCGTTATATGAAAGCATAAAAAATGCTAGCAGTAGTGGTAATATGCATGTATGAGGAAATAAAGTAGGCCATCTGCTCAACTATATTACAAAAAGTGCACCACTAAATAGTTCGAATGGAGAGATTATTAATGACAAGAAGCAACAGCTGCTAGATAGATAAATGGAACATTATCTGGAGCTGCATTCAGTTGATACTCAACAGATGGTGCTCTTAACCATTATGTTAATGCCATGAAGACTACAAACTCTTGACTATCTGGACAAATTTCCAACAATTGTAGAAATTAGGAATGTTATTGATGAAGTGGCTTTAGGGAAGGCCCCAGGCAGAGATGGAATGCCTTGTAAGATCAATAGGAGTGGGAAGACATTCTAACCCCACACATTCATCAGCTAATAACACCCAATGTCAGTGTGGCTTTGGTGGGAACCGGTCTACCACTGATATTTGTATTAGGACAGTTGCAGGAGAAATGCTATGAACAAAATAAATCAACCATTGTATATTGCTTTGACTAATCTCAGCAATGGTGGGAGATGATATGGATATGCTTCAGTAATTTGCCATCACTACAGACTTACTTTCAATAGTAGTGGCAGTGGTTAACAACTACCTGGCTTAGAACAACTATCTTATTATTGCGTCCGGCTATCCTCCGAATAACGGTCATAAATTATCGAAAATATACCCTAACAGGGCCTCAGTCACGTGACAATTGCGCACTTCTGTCGTCTTAAATTGTGCACTTCCGGAGACTTCCGCCACCGCCGAGAGCATCCCCCACACCACTAGCTCACCCTGCATGGATTGGGGCTAAACTAGATGGCTGGGACTCACGAGCAGCAGCTACCGCATCTCCTGCAGCTTCTTTCATTTTATTTGCTTGTGGATCCTAGCCATCTAGTTTAGCCCCAATCCACGCTGTTCGCATGCGGCGTGGGGGATACTCTCGGCGGTGGCGTTATAGTCCCTGGATGTGTGCAATTGACACGTGACTGAGGCCCTGTTAGGGTATATTTTCAGCCTCAATGAATTTAGGACCGTTATTCGGAGGATAGCCACGCGTCCAAATAATAATATGTCAAGTCAAATCACGCTAACTTACCTTATATATATGTTTTATGATTTTAGTTTAGTGTTACCTTTGTCTACATGATAATGAATTACAGAGCACAACAGTCAAGAGTCAATTATAATAACAGCCATAATTTCAAAACAACGGAAAAAGTGAAAAAGAAAAAGGACGTTTAAACAAATTACGGTACTCTTCGGAATACCTGTCCCAAATTATTCAGTTTTTAAAATTCAATTCAGGGCCTTAAAATGTTATATAGTTTAAAAATGTCATAGTTAAAAATAATATGAATTGATTTCGACTCTTGAGTAGTGTAGTTGCAAGTATTCCGCCTGTGACAAGGTTGACCGTTGACCGGAAATCCCCGCCTGGTGATAACTTATTTTTAGCTCTTAAAAGGGCAGTTGGGACGCTGTGTTGTGGTTTACAGTTAGGCTGCGATATCTGTGCCTTTTGCTCGGTATCGTGGGCTTTCTTCCTAATAACGGTCCCAAATTATCGAGGCCGAAATAGGGCTTCAGCCACATGTAAACTGCGGACTTCCGCCACCGCGAGAGTATCTCCCACGCCGCTATGCGCGCCGTGGGGCTCAACTAAATGGCTAGCTGCTGCTCGTGAGTCCCAACCATCTAGTTGGGAGACACTCTCGGCGGTGGCGGTAGTCGCCGGAAGTGTGCAATATAAGTCGCAGGATATCCGCATTTTACATGTGACTGAGGCCCTGTTGGAGTATATTTTCAGCTCGATAATTTGGGACCGTTATTTGGAAGATAGCCGTATTGTGGTTTAAAGCTAGCCTGCTAGAGCGGGGGTGATATGTAGCAACTACGATTTCGGCAATTTGCGGTCTCTTCGGCAATTTCCGTTACCCGGAAACCGTTCGAAACTTGTTTCGCAAATGTCGGCTGGGGTTTCGGGAAGGGTCCTAATCTCATGAAATTGTGCGATTGGTGTGATTTTCACCCACTCTAAATAGCTGAAAACGGCGGGAAGGAACTCGATTAACAGCACATGTCTACGATAGCCAGACGTCCTGTTTTTCTGTTACATCAGTTTGATTGAAAATAGCGATAAGTATTCAGGGTTGGCTTTAGGCTTTAACTGTTACTAGACATGGTAATGCTAGTTATAATTGAATTCTCCGTCCAATTTTACATTTGTATATAAAATGTCTTTCTTGTCTGTGGCTGTTTAGATTTACAGTGACATTTTTCATGCAATCGCTATGTGTCTCATTCGTCATTGGCTGCCATCTTGTCCAATGACAGTCCAATGTCACAAAGCCAAAATGAAAGTTGCGCAGTTTTTGGTTGCGCAGAGAAAACCTATTGTTTCTGGGAGACAAGTTTTAGCAGCTGCTTTCTACATCTCATCTCATCACAAAAACCTACATATCTCAGCTCAGAAATGACATACAAGGCTAAACGAGGTACCATTGGAAAGAGATTGTTTACAGCTATCTAACTGTGCTGGTTTTATTGGTGATGAGGGCATTTTAAAAATTTGACTAAAGTACCTAAAAAAAAAACTAGATATGCTCAATAATCAGTTAATCATGTCACATGTAGGTAATCTTCTAGGTTTTTTTTGTTTTGTTCACTCTTGAAAGGGCAATTCACACGTTGTAGTGTGATTTCGATATCCGATATTTGCGCCTTACGCTCCAACACATCCGAATTCAGCAAAGGGCTATCCTCCAAAAAACGGGCACATATTATGGCAGCCAAAATCACCTTAACGGCCTCAGTCACATGTTTACTAACAGTGTAACTACTGTAACAGTCACAGCAGTAGTAAGCCGTTTCTGGCTCTGTCAGATGAGAATGTACTTAGCATTACTTGCCGTATTGTAACGGAAAATAATAATATGTATAATAAACGCAATATCATATTGAATATGTACAACTTACAGTTAATGTTAGAAGTTTATGCACATTTGTAGTTTAGAAAAGAATATTTTGCGGTAATTCCTGCTGGCTTCTTACAGGAAGTCGGCCATTTTATCTTCTCCACGCATGACCAGTGTCCAGGGCTGCCAATGAGATTTTTGTCAAAAACCCAGATGGAGCTGACGAAAACCCAAGATATGAACAAAAAATAAAATAAAAAACCCAGCACTGTGCAAAAAGTATTTTATAGTTATGAAACTGAACATATACTCACCTTTATTAAACTGTTACTCTAACAGCTCTCCTTCTTCACCAATTTCAATTGTCAACGTCTCTTTCTGTGTTTTCATTCTGTTTAAATATGTTTTGACTAACTGCGCCACTTTGCAATTCTTTTTGCAATTCTATATTAGGTGTCCATGTCGTGCAGTCGCTATTTCCTTTTGTGATTGCTTGCCTTGCAAGAATTCGATTTTTTACG